TCACCGGTTCGAACCCGGTTGGGCCCTTTTAAATGTTAATACTTTTTTGTTCACTTTTTACATCCTGTTTCTTCGTTTTTTACTCTATTACTACCTTTTTAAAAGAAAATATTTTTCGTTCACTTCTTTTTTATTTATTTTTCATTGTATTACATTCAAAAAAAGAAAAGAAAAGAAAAAGACACGTCAAAAAATAATAATATATAATTTATCATTTTATCTATATAATTATGAATAAAATAACTAATTTAAAACTTAAAGCTAGATATTCGTTATTTTAAATTTATATTATTTTTATAAATAACCCATAATATATATTAAATTCCATTGAATCTCATTCTTTTAAAAATTATTCCATCGTATTATGAAAGTGTCCTAAACGTATTCTTACGGTATACAACAAGAAATAAAATATTTAATTTTCATATCTGAAACTATCACTGCACTCTAAAGGTTTGTTTGGTTATATAGAAAATTATGATGGAAAGTGAAATAAAAGAAAGAAAAATCAAATTTCTATTATGCATTTGGTTGTTAGGAATTTTTTTTCATGTGAAAAATTATTATTTTATTAATTTGGATCGGGGAAAAAAAAATCTACTTACCAAAGTTAATCTTATGATTTCAAATACTAAAAAGAATAATAATAATAAATAAATTTGTGTTAGATGAATACTCTTTATATCCAATTATTTATATTCATTTTTAGCAAAAAAAAATGATAAAATGATAAATTATTAAAAATATAATATAAATTATTTATATTATTCAATTTGTTTATATTAAAATAATGTTTTATAAATTTAGGAAGGGGGGTTTTGATGCTTTCAGAAATTAAATACATACCTAGACTTGGATTGTCACTGCCTTTGCTATAAAACTTTTACACTTGGCACGGGTACATTTATTTATGCGTCAAAAGAAGATGCAATTAGTTGGGAACTAAAGTACTTCCATAATTAGTATGTAGAGATTGTTGGATTGTTACAATTGTTGTCATGTTAGAAAACTAAGATGTAAAGGCACAATTTTTTGCGGGAAAGTGAAAATTTCTATGAAAAAATTAACGCAAGAGAGAATGTCACTCTCGTCTCTTCATAAAAAAAAAATTTGCTTTTCATCTAACCGAATTCTTAAAAGAATTTAGTTTTTTATCTTTTCTTTTCATTTTTAATTGATTTATGCTAATCAAACTAAGCTAATAGAAGAACCTTTACTTCCTAGACAAATTATTGAAAAATAAGACATGAAAACGAACAAAAAGGATATGTTGATATACACTACATTAAAATAAATATGTATTAAAGTTTATAGAGTGTGTGTATATATATATGAATAAATTTAACTAATAATTATTTATCATGTTACAATAATTATTTATCATGTTACAAAATTAACTTATAAAGAAATTATGACAATTAAACTGATTATATGAATAAATTTTGAATAAATTAGTTGTTAAATATATTTTAATACCTCGTTGTTGAAGAAATATTAAAATTTTCTTAATAATTATATTATGATACCTTACTTGAAAAAAATTATATTTTAATATTTAAGACTTGTTTAAATATGTGTTCATTTTGAAAGTATAAAATATATGTCTTAAGTGAGAAGTAATGAATATGTATCCGACATAAAATCATATTTTAAATTATAAATATATTTAGGAAATACCATCATGCACATTCCCGTCAGCGTGGTTAGGGGTGCACACGGTTCCGGTTCTCACGATTCCGGCCGTAACCGTTCACAACGGCTCCTTAAAAATGGAACCGGGACCGGAACCGGAACCGTATAATATAGAACCGAACCGTAGAAACTCTACGGTTCCGGTTCGGTTCCCATGGAACCTTTAACTCTCGGTAAGCAGTCAAGCACGGAGCTTCAGACGGGACGACGGGTTAGGTTTCAGCATCGGAAAGAGATGAGCTTGAGAGCTTCGTCGCCGATGCTCGCAAATCTGCGATCGCATTTCAGATTATAGTGAGTTTAGTCACCGCATCAAACCTCGAAAACAGAGACGGAACCACCGAGAGCGGATCGGCTTGGGCGTTGAAAGAGAGACGGTGACGTCTCTGTCCCTCAATTTGAAACCACCGGCGATAGACGAGAGAGCATCGTTTCTGATCACCGGAGCCAAGCAACTGGAATATGCAAGCTAAGCACTCATCGGGAAGGTTGGAGATGTAGTCGGGGAGATTAGGAGCGTCAATAATGATGTCCTAAAATGACCAACATGTCGGCGTCGGTTAACTCTCGGCAAACAGAGGCGGAAGTCACGGAACCACCGAGAGCAGATTAGCTTGGGCATTCGTCACTTCGTCAAACCCTAAGATGAGATCATGAGAGATTGAGAATTTCAGAGTACTCAGAGGAGGCGACTGACGAGGACTGAGAGAGAGAGACATTTAGGGCAAACAAACTAGCAAACAAACTAAAAGGAACATGTTTTTTTTCAGGTCCAACGACTTTTCTTTAGTTTTTACTTCATTTTTTTAGTATAAAATTATATATATAGTACATATATATATATATATACGGTTCCGGTTCTTACCGGTTCCCACGGGCTGGAACCGGAACCGGAACCGGAACCGTATGTTATATATACGGTTCCGGTTCTTACCGGTTCCCACGGGCTGGAACCGGAACCGGAACCGTATGTCCACGGTTCTTAAATTCAGAACCGGAACCATGAGAACCGGAAAAAACGATTCCGGTTCCACGGTTCCGGTTCTCTTGTGCACCCCTAAGCGTGGTAGCATTCAATGTTTTCCTTCTTACCCTTTAACGTTGATTTCTTTTATTTCTTTCCATCATTCTTTCGTATAGTAATTCTCGTATAACTTTGTGTGCGTTTTTTTCTTCTTACACAAGTACATATAACTTTTTTCATTTTTTAACAAATATATTTTGAAACATGATATTTTTGTCAAAGTGAATAAACTAAGATCATTGATGTCTTGAACTGGGTGATCTTTAACAAAAGGAAAGAAGAATGCCCTAAAAAAATTAATAAATGGTCCCAACAGGACCACAAATAAGTAACATATGGGATAAAGCCATTTCTTATTTCTGACTTCTAGGCTTTGAGTTGCATCTAGGCTGCAAACCAACAAAGCCATTGGAGAACTACTAGGCCTTGGCTTTAGTTGGACTCAGTTCATACGCTTTTATCCCAACCTAAGTTCATTTATTAGATAAGCCGAGTTCAAACATACCTATGCTCGGCTTGTTTGTTCACCAACATGCATGCAAAGTGCAAACAATCTTAAACTGAGCTTTTGAATATTTTAAATATATATATATATATATATAGATTTAGTCGCTATTTCGTTTTTACTTTTTTGTTACACCCAACATATATTTAATCATTTTGACTTATTAATTAAGCTCAACCCAACTCAAAAGACCCAATAGGCTAAGCCCAACGTTCAAGCCCACCAATATTCTGTCTAACACTACCTTAACAACTATCTTATTCTTCCTCAAACCTAGGCACCCCAATCACTCCACAGAAACAATGAAGCTTATCCAAGCGGCAACCAATCCGAGGTGAGTTCTCAAACTCACCCGCTTGCTCCCTTCCTCTCCCTAACGAGTTCAGATTTGAACTAAGCCACTCATCATCTCTCGTATGGTGTCAGTGGTATGCCTTTAGATGTCAAGAAATTGTTGAGATAGGAGATCGGGGGTGAAAATTAATACACATTTAACATATAGACGCATACATATATATGGATAATAAATGCACGCTATTACAAGTATAGTATCGTGAAATGGTTATAAATTGATTAAGTGTTACCACCACTATCACGCCACGCCACGACCCGTGTTACCATTGGTATCAAAACCAGACTCCCATCATTGATTCGGTGTCTTCCAAGTTTGGGTGGGAAAGAATGCTAAAAAAGAAGCCTTGTCTCACATCGGATCCAAATGAGAAATGAGTATATATGACTTGGAGATTTACAATATCTAACAACTTAAATTTTTGGGTCAAATCGCATAATATATATCCTGTTTGACCAACTATATCTACTGTTTGTGTGTAATATATCCAGTGAGCACTTCTGCTACAAGCCGTATGGGACTAGCTAGGCGATCAATTACTCAGTTAGGACAAAGCCTATTGCTCTGTGCTCCAATCAACAATCATAAAACCCCTCTCTCATTTGCACATCAACCTAACCGGTGTTACTTTACTTCTCATTATCAACTCTAGACAGTACATTTCGGAAATACAAAGCTATGGCTAGTAATTCAACCAAAGGAGTAGGACAAATCAAGACTTCTTCTTCATCAAAAACATAAAGCATATTCATCTCACTCCACTTGTCAGGTCAGACCTGCCGTGTACCAAGTACTGGGAATTCTATTAAGTAAACACAAATTCCAGCAAATGAACATGAACAAGCAAGTAAAGGGGTTGCACAAAACATGTGGTATGGATCCACAACCCAAACACGGTACTTTTAACAGAAATGAGTAGGCAAAGTCGAAAGCACAATTTTGATAACCAAATCAGAATAGATATCAAATGACTGTGTACTTTGAAAGAAGCTGCTGACAACCAAGTCAAACAACAGGCATAACCAAACATCAACGGTAACAGATTAGTCAGTGTATGGAGATGATAAAAAAAAAACGAATCTATGGTGGAGTACTTCAAGCTTACAAAGAATAAGTATAAACTAGATATAGAGGATCCCAAGTCACAAGATTTTACACAATTATACAAACCACAACAACGAAAGTCACATAGAAATTCAAGCAGAGACTATAAAACTGTTTCAATAGTTTTATTTATTCCTGTTTTGAACTTAAAACTAATGCATCATAAACCAGGCTTCAAGTGAAAGTTCGAAATCTAAATAAATGCTGGACTAGCAGGTAATTCAAGACATCAATACAATTATTCAAATGGATAGAGACCAATTCATTCAAGCTTATATATGAATCAATGCATGACAAATATAGACCACCTCTAATTCAAGAAATTAAGACATAAAAATCCGACACTTAAATTAAGAAAGAACAGAGAAGTGTTTAAAGGTTCACAATCCCAAACTTCTAGAGACCTCTCCCAAGATGGCTACATATATAAAATTCAATAAGGAACTACAAGCAAGGTAAACAAAGTATTCCATAGAAGGACCAAAACATACTGAAAGGAGCTCCTAATCGAACAAGCTAAATCCCATATCGTCATCACTCTCCTCCTTTGGCTCTTCCTGTTAAATCATCACCAGAACAAAAAGAACATATTAATCAGAATCTGTTTTTTAATTAAATCCATTTATTTATTTATTGGAACAAAGAATGGACAATTTTTCTTTACCTTCTTTTCCTCGGGAGGAGGAGCTGCGGCAGCAGCACCGCCGGCGGCGGCTGGGGCAGAAACGGCAACAGCACCGCCACCGCCACCGGACCCAACATTCATGATGAGCTCCTCCAGGTTTCTCTTCTCGGCGAGCTTAGCAAACAAGCTGAACCAGTAAGATTCAACGGTAAGATTCGCTGCCTTCACCAGTGCAGCAATCTTCTCCGCCTGTTATTACAAAATCAAGGACAACCAATATACACCAACATATATAAAGATATACGGACATACATAACCCTAAAAAGTAGAGAGAGAAAAAAGGGAATAAGTTGGGAAAGCATACGGTGACGGGAATGCCGTCGTCGTGGAGGATCAAACAAGCGTAAGTGCAGGCAAGCTCACTGGAAGACATCGTTAGTTTTTGTCTCTCTGTAAAGATCAAAAACACAAAATTAGGGTTATTGAAAAACTCAAAACGAATCGAAAATAAAGGAAGAAGATAAAACACTTTGATTAACCGATAAGAATTTAAAGCAAAGAGAGAAACGATTACCGGTCAACGGGGCTTAGAGAAGGCAAAAATTATACCTGAGGAAGTGAAGATCTGAAAATGATAATGCTACTGGCTACGCCGCAACCTGCAATCTTTGATTAGGGTTTTCTCGGATGTTTGGGGTGAAAGGCTTTTAAAGGGTCGAGAGACATGAAATTTTCTTGGGTTTAATATGGGGGCCCAGGCCCACTAGAATGAAAGGGCCGGAGATGGAGCTGCGACGCCGTGTAAGAAAAATGGGAACAATTTTTTTTTTTTTTTTTTTTTTTTTTTTTTTCTCTCTGTCGAGTGTTTGAGATTCACGGGCCTAACTTTACGGCTAGTCATATGGTAGACGAGGACTTGGTTTGGATAGTCTCCAGTGTTGGAGAGCATCCTCCACGAGAATTGGAGATTAAGGTTCGTTTGTTTCAATAAAATATTTTTTTAAAAAAATATAATTTTTTTTTTAGATAAAATATTTTTTTTATTTTTATTTTGTCGATATTTGGTAAAAGGTTACGTCGAGGTTGAGTCTATCGGGCAGGGCGTATAAAATTACTTGCCGAAAATTTTCGAATAAATTATTTTTGTTAAATTTTAATATTTTTTTTGTTCGTAAATATTTTAGGTTCAAACAAGCGTAGCCTAAGTACTCTACATAAATATTAAATTATCAAATAATAAGAGTGGACTATTTACACTATTTATATGTAAATTTCACAAGTAATCCAATCTCCAATCTTAATAGGGTACACGACCACATGACCACACAGCATCTGAGAGATTTCTTGCGAACTTATTATTTATCCAACCTTCTTTTTTTTTTTTTTCAGCATGTGTTTGCATTGGATTGGAATTCAATTTTTTTCCCTAGAAAATTAAACTTGTGACACTCAAAACCTGCACAGTGTCTCACTTATCAAAGAGTAGGTTGTTTGGAAAAACTGGTGGTCATGCATTGTGCATTGGTGAAATAGGTTCTTTGAGAATCAATTTCATCTCACATTCATGCTGGTGTAACAATCATAACAAAAATCGAATTTTATGCATACATTGCGCTCTTGCATCAAACAAATGGTCGATATAGAAGCCCGAGAAAGCTTTCAAATTTTGGAGAAATATAGATATACGCAACCCACTTCAGTCGTAAATTGAACTGTATCAATCACTGTTCATGGCAAGATCATCACCTTGCCTTTCATAACGCAACTCCAGACAAAAAGTTGTTTTATGGATTCAAATGAATTAGAATTGGAGCTCCCAATTCCGAATCCAATACCCTCAACTCATGGTGCCAAAACACATCCTCAATGGACTCCCTCTTGCATGGAAATTTCTTTTTCTCAAAAAGTTCGAGTCAAGATACAACAAAATCAGGCCATACAAACTCTAGGTGTTGCCCAAACAAGCCCCGAGAGCTAAGCAGCAGCTAAAATAAATAAATAATTTTGTGTATACCATGCCGTTGTCCACTTACCCATATATTAATATTAATTACTTTCTGAACCAAAGACAATTAAACAAAAATTAAGAAAGAACCATGAATAAAGAGGTCCACTAGAAATTAAGTCATCAAACTATATTACAGTTGGGTAGGTCAACTGAATTATAAATTCAGTGCCAACGTATATCTGCACGGTTAGTATGTACCCTACTAACGCCTGTAATTTAACAATACTTGGTCCGCAAGATACCCAAACCATGCACATAGCATTGAGGACTTAAGTTTAACATATCAAAATGCAATGCAATTCGACTAATAGGCATGACTTCCGAAACAGCATCGTCTGCAAAACTAGCTACCAATGGGACTTCCAGAAATCAGGCGCTACCTGTATCAAAACAGAAAGAATGAAAGAACCAAAAAAATGTAAAGCTCCATAAGTTACCAAACTTTAAGCCAACACTAAGAAGCCTACAGTAACAACAGAGAAAAGGTTGATTGGTTGCATGATATTCAAGCATCCATATATAACAAAAAGAACCCACCATACAATGGTATATAAACTTATCCAAAACATAAAATCAGAAGTGAACCAACCTTGGTTTCAACCTACCACTATGCAGCCAGCAATCAATTATATCCAGAACATAAAATCAAAAGTGAACCAATCCTGTTTTCTACCTACCACTACCATACAGCAATAAATCCCTGAGAAGTGAACCAAATTCACAGGATGGAGGCTTGAATTAATTCAGGTCTCGATTTGATTCGATCAAGTTGCAAATGCAGGTACACTAAACAGACTCAAAGTTGTCAGGAGCACTGGCAGTCATTAACACAAATCAGTGCACTACTTCCTTTATAAATATAATAATTGCATCAGTTTATCTTTAATAATAATTCATGAAAACAGTTATTTAATCACTAATACATGATTGTGACTCATAAGATGCTATAATAGCACTATTATATACTAACTGCTCACAATATATTAAAGCCCATTGATAAAGTTGGTCCAGCTTAGGTGGGAGGCTCAGAAACTCAAACCTGTATCCTCAACCTTGTCCAAATTTTTAGTTCAGCACAACCAATGAGCATAGTCATATTTACTGTCGATAAGATGTTCCAAAAGAATTTTACGCCCACTAATTGAAAGTTCAGGAAAAAATTAATATAGAGTTAGTGAGTTGGCATGGAAGTATCTGGAACTATCAAAATTAGAATGGGTCCAGGTAGAGTTTGTATTTAGTAGCCATTCAATAAAATAACAAGATTCAAGCTCAGCATGGAAGCTGTATCAGAAGTTCTCATGCTTAACTGAAGACGTGGTTTACATTTAAAATGTAACAAAAGGAATATTTATTTTGCTAAATTAATAAGGTAATGGTAGAATTAGTATCAAGCTCTGGTTCAGGTTGTCATGCATTCCAAACATAGAAATATCCTCAATTGATAAATTCTTTTTTATCCCCACCAATCCACAGTATTATGTTGTACAAAGCTGTAAATATGCAATACATGTATTATATTAAATGTGTAAATATTTGTAAGTTGAGGACTTACCTAGCATGGCAAGCTGGACCTCGACCTTGATCTGCACATTTGATTTTTTTTTTTTTTAAATTAAAAAGAACTCAAGAAATAGAATACAATAAAATAATAAAGCACAATATACCTTCATTATTATTATTATTTTATTTTACTTTTTGTATTTTTTAAATGAAGTAAAGAAATAGCATATGATAAATCCAATAAAGCACATAATAATTTCAAAGTAACAATTAGCATCATATACCTGGACAGTCTACCAGGGGATGCAGATTTGGATCTTGGTGGAGATCTAGATTTTGACACAGATATGGATCGTCTCACAGATTTGCTGCACAAGGAAGCATGAGCACCATGAAAAGAACCAATGCATTGGTTGGTGGTGGGGGGGGGGGGGGGGGGGGGGGGGTGGGGGTGAGATTTCTAAGGCAGGAAGGGAAAATCAATCATAATTAACAGGTATACCTCAAACTCCTCCTAGGACTTCTGCTTCTGCTCCGACTTCTACTATGGCTCAGGCTCTTATATGGACTTCCTTCATAACACTTCACCTGCCAATACAAGGTTCCAAGGAGAGGAAGGCTATCATCTTTCAGTATCAAACCAGTATCTTCGCATCCATAAATTGGATTACATTCCCGGGGACCTAAAGGGCTTATAAATACGGCAAGCAGTTGCAGATAGGATTAAGTAAATAAGTTTGTAATTATTGTTGACAATAAATCTTTACTCAAATTTGTTAAAGTGGAATTTAAACTAGAATTAGTGCTGAAAGCAAAGGTTCGTGGTCGCAGCTACAGACGCAGATGCAATGTAACAGAATCGGGTCCATATTGGTGTTACGTAACGAAATCAGTTATCGCAGTCGTGAGATTTTTTTTCAATTCCGCACATACGGTCTAAAATGCACTGCTACACAATTTTTTACAAAATAATCGGATAAATATGATTTTTTTTTTTTTGTAAATTTTAGTGATTTTTATTAATTTTTTAAAGATCATTTAAAGCTATTTATAATTTTTTAGTCACAGTCCTAATTATATTTTTACTAAATTAATGAACAATATGATGTACGACAAGGGTAGCCTGAAATAGTTGAAATCAAAAGGAGTTTATTGGCTGAATTCTAATAAACAGAATTGTAGTTCACGAAGTGTTAGTAGAGAGAGAGAATTTGGAATAATAAAAATCTATTAGAATCATTCCAACAGGGCTAGGTATCACACCTAGAGGAGGCCTTACACCTAGAGGAGGCCTTAGACCCTCAGAATTTGTGAATCACTCACAAAGAAATCTCAAAGTTATTTTTATCCATTGATTCACTCCTCACCAAGCTTACATCACGCCCTTCTTAAAGCAACTTATGACCCTGAGATTACCCAATAATTGACGTAAACCAAAAGTTGATTGTATAGCATAATAAAAGTAATAACCACATAATTGAGGTAATCAACATTTGACTTTAGAATTACCCCGTAATTAAGGTAATCAATACTTACCAAATAGCATAATTAAAGTAATTAAAAGTTGACCAAATCTCCAATTATTCAAAACTCCATGTGGACCCACATTATCTAGCCTATGCTAGCTTGAATCTTAAAATCCTCCTTTTGGGGCCTTTTATACACCTTTAAAGATTTCTGCCATTGATTTCCATCAATTCTCTCCGGCTTGGAAAAACTTGATTACGACGAGTTAAAGGGATAAAATTGCTCATAAAGGTCGGGAGCTAGATATTGGAACTCGCTATCAGCAATCCAAGTACAATAAAAAATTGGGCGGCCCCTCCATGTAACAAGTAACTTCTGAAAACCACTCTGAAAATCAGCTTGTGTCTTGTGACTCTCATTGCTGTTGCAGTCTTCCTTTGAACTTCAACATGAATATCCTGGATACGCTTACTAAAAGCATCAGCTTCAGCACTAGGGTGCCTGAATTAGTAAAGGAACTAAATCAATTGGCTTCCTAGGACGTAAACCTGCCACAATTTCATAGGGGTTGTGCCCAGTGGTCCTTTTTACAGAAATGTTGTATGCATATTCAGCCATAGGAAGAATATTGTCCCAACTAGTAATACGGTTACCAATAAGGCAGCAAAGCAAGTCACCCAAGCTGCGATTAAAAACCTCGATTTGGCCATCAGTTTGTGGGTGAAAAGAACAAGAAAATTTCAGTCTTATATTCAGCAACTTTCATAATTTGTGCCAAAAATAACTCGAAAACTTCACATCTCGAGCAGAAGCAACTGTGTTGTGCAACCCATGAAGTCAGACGTCGTCTTGGAAAATGGATTGGCAACGTAGACAACATCAGAAATCTTAGAACACGAGAGGAAATGTGCCATTTCTAAAAAAACGATTCAAAGGCCAGAAGCCTACTAATGAACTGGAACCTCTTGCCATCTTGCTGCAATCCACATCTGCGCCCGCCAGATTTATTTTCTTGCTGCAAATTCATCTAGGGCTTACTACCGGAACGATGCACAGACTCCCACCATTAATGGCTTACAATGGTTTTGGGTTGTTAATGGTGGTTATCTGTTTTGATTATTGGGTTGGATTTCTAATGGGTCCATTGGGCCAGGCTTGCATGTCTTTCTTTGCTCTTGTGGGGCTTTAGTTCAATCCTTGTGACTCTTTCTGGTTTTGGCCAAAGGCCCGATTTGTAACCTTATAATTTTAATGTCAGTTGCTTAACTTTTCGGAATAAAAAAACGTGTCCTATACTAGTTCTAGACAAGCCAATAACAAAAGCATCTCTTGACTCATGATCCTCATGATTCTCTACCATTCCAACTTCCACACTCGGATTTCTTTTTGCAATTTTAACGTGATGGCAAAGAACACGCCGCAAGTTATCATTCAACGCAAATTTCTTGCATAGAAGCTCCTCATTTGCGGTATTGTTTACGAGTATCGCAACATGGTTTTGGTGAGACTGACATTGATCAACAATGTCAACAATCACCTCTTGCTTTATGCCCTCGTGTTTCTGAGCATCCAAGGCATAACATATATATTATATAATGTTTACATTAACCAATCATTTAGTCCCTGTGACTTTAGAGGCATAACATATATATTATATAATGTTTATATGCAATTATTTAATTAATATAAATTTTTTCTTGAATAATTTAGTTAATACTCCCTCCGTCCCATAAAAAAGTCCACCTTTCCATTTTTGGCTGTCCAAAAATAATTGTCCCAATTAAAAATCCCAATGTACTATTTTTATAATATTCCTAATTTCCCTCCTTGCCTTGAAATTATATAAGCAATCACCTCATGTGGACCCACCATAAAATAAGGCCCAAGGAGAAAATTGTTAGCACGTCATAAAATTAAAAAAAATTAAAAATTCATCTCAGCCCTTAACTTTTATCCATCTGAACCGTTGGTTTGGTAAAGTTAAAGATATATACAAAACCCTATTTTGTTGTAAGAGAATGGCAGAGTAAGGTGGTCAAGCAGTGCAAGTGTGTAAGATATCTGAAATGGAGTAGATAAATCTTGCAAGTTTGAGTTCATTTTGAAATTATATTCTGTATTTCTTCTTTTTCGTTCTTGTGGGAGATGGAGATTGGATTTTATCAAAGAGATCAGGCGTTTCTTGATTTTGTGAGCAATGGTGGTGTAATCGAGTCCAACCTGAGCCAAGCCCGAGCTTGTAGAAAGTTTACCGAGCCCGAGAACCTCTTTGGAAGTGACAAACCGAGCCTGAACAACCCAAGGCTCAACTCGGCTCGGTTCATTTGCAGTCCTAGACGGAAGGAGTATAATTAATAACTATATTTGTTGTGTTTGAAAATAAAATTTTTTATTTAGAATCTTAAATTAAATAAAAAATCCCATTAGGTGGGGCAACTCAATTCTAACAGAAACACCTGTTTTTATTATTAAAAAAAAAAAATTCAACTGGTTCACTTGTGAATCGAAGTACCCACTGATATATCAGTGAGTATTGGTCTCGGTTGGGTCAAAACCAGTTGCGAACCGTCCCGTTCGGCAAACCATGGCTGAAAGTGACCATTTGACAATAAAGTATGGGAAAAAGCCCAGTTACAAAGGCAGCAATTAAGCATTACCTGAATATAAGACTTTGTCCAGGGATTTCGAAATTCAGTACCATCCAGTCTTTGGATCTGTATGCCAGAAGAAGTCAACAGTCGGAAAGAGGCAAATAATAGAAGAACGTGATTACAAACATTTCAAAATTATTTGTACGATCTCCTAATAACTTACAGCATATTTCATGTCCTCATAGTTAGTGTAGTCAACAATACCCATGGCTCCTGAAAAAGACTAGTAGTTCAATAAAGAGAAAACAGATAAAAGAAGGCAGTCCATAAGCTATGTAAATAGAAACACAGAAACCTCAAAGCAAGCTTAGCGATACAGGGTCAAAAACAGAACATGGAATGGATTCTAGGGTAAATTAAGGAGAAACTTGTATTTGTAAATAGAAAAGGAGATAAAATGATGAATGAGTTCTGTGGGTAATAATGACATTTAAGATGAATGGTGCTTTTGTTGGGGGGGGGGGAGGAAAGTGAACAATTCCACATTTCTTTCCAACAACGAAGTGCAAAGCAAGTAAATACAAGGAGATTTATGTTACACCAGTATGTGGAACTCAGAAAGAATTTTACTAAGCAAGAAAACACAAGGAGATTTGATAAATGTAATAATAAGTGACAAGGAAGAAAATTGACTAATTTTGTTCAAGCTCATCTCAGAAAGAATTTTACTAATTCTGGAAAACATAATAAAAGTAGAGAACTTAAGTTGTGAAGAAAGGATCAATATTATGGACAAAAAACTGGAGTTTTTCATTTCCATGCTTGTCCAAATATTTGCTAAATTGATGGCTACTACAATGAAAATCTTACCATTGTGACCTCTTCCAATAGTTCCTCATGATTTTAGACAAATAGCTACACTTTATCTATGCTATTATATACGATGTCTTTGCATGATTCCTTTGTACCACACCCGTTTGACTTCAGCAACTAAATTTCACCCACTTAGCAGTCTCTCCATTACTAACAATGCATAGAGAAGCAGTGAGAATTCCATATTAGCACCCACAAAAGCCATTACATCTCTTAATCAGCACTCACATTCACCTTTTTATGATTCCTTCATATGTTGTCCTCATGTATGTCTTGCCTGGTTATTGTCCTTTTAGTTATTCTTTCTTTTGATCCTTAGGTTGTTTTGTGCCTCTAGGTTGTAATTTGATGTGGTCCAAGATTGGGAGCAATGAGTTCTCAAGAGAAGTTTTGAACGACAATTAGTCCCTTGTAAATCAAGAGCTACGCTATCAATGAGTTAACTCCAGGTCTAGAATGTCAAGCCAAAAAATGACATGATAAAATGCAACCTTATTAATTAAAAGGATCATAGAATTTTAGACGTAATAAAATCATTCCAATTCACTAGAAACTACAAATAAAATGCATATTCTCCAATCTTAATGAATTAATAAAAAACAAACAAAAACTATGTGCACATGCTGTTATCAATGGGCAAGGTATGGAGAAAGGTGTTTTAATCTTAGGTTGAGACTAGAACACGAGTTGGAGGCTACAACCTCCCACAGAATTTAGCAACTGTGTAATACTACAAACACCTACTACCTTCACCATCGCGAAAAACTTGAGCAAAACACACTTCTCCAGCCTTCCGCATGTGATCCTGAAAATAATTCACATGTGGTAACTAGTAAGATTATTCAGGTAGCAAATTAAAAATGATAATAATAATAATAAATTAAAAAAAAGAAGAAGCAAGCTTCTATGAAAAAAGTTGGAAATACTCCCCACCTTCAAATCTTGCCATGATGCTGAGGAAGGCAGTCCACGAACAACAACTATATAGCAAGAAAGAAATAAATCAATTTTGGCTAAACAAGTAAGCCTAAATTGGACCCAGAACCGAAGTTCCACAAATAATGGTATGGTGAGAGTTTAAAAGAGATAAAGAACTTAACACACAACAAACGAGATGAAAATCTTCAAAACAAGATAAAAGAATAAAAAGTGCACCTCGATATTCCGAACGACGAGAAACACCAAATCGTCCTCCTCCCCCACCACCATAAGCACCCCGTCGATCAATTGAAGATGATTGCCTGCGACCACCATGACCAAGTTCAACCTACATCAATAGCCAAATAAGAAACTATCACTAGAAAAAAATGCCCACAATAAAGATTTAGTTTCAAAGCCTGATACCCTTAAGCGAGAACCATCAAAATTATAGCCATCTCGACCCCTAATTGCATCTTCTGCCGCCCAAGCATCGTCAAACTGCAGAAAATCATAGGTAAGATACAGCAACCACACGTGTAATCAACATATTGTTCACCATATGTATTCAAATATTATTATACACAAGATACAATACCTCCACAAAGCAATAACCAGGAGGACGAGGTGGAAGCTTCAACTCGATATCCAGAATTCGGCCATACTACAACCAACAAAAAATTAGATCTCATTTCTATACATGGTTAAACAATTAATAATCTTGCCTTATGATTAAGTGAGCATGTGCAGGTGTGGATGTTACATCCGTTGAGTGTTACAAGCAACATCAGTTCAGTGTTACTTCTGATTCATCGTGCCTCTGTGAGTGGGTACAGGTGTTACTATAGCAAAAGAACAGAACTGTTAAATATGACTTAAAAGAATGGAGAGGATTCTTCAGAGAACCAGCTCATTGTCGAAGATTAATATATTTTTTCAATCAACAATAAGAATCAAACCCTTAACCCTAGACTTCTCTTTCAGATACAATGTTAGCACTTAACCACTATGATACATGAAATCTGAACACGAAGCCCTTTATGCAGAACAGTTTGAGAAAATTGCCCATGATAAAAGATGACTTTTGAGGCCGAAGACAACTCCACAAAAAGTTCAAAGAAGGAATTGCATAATTTTGAGCTCAGCTAACCCGAAAAAGCACAAAAATCATGTAATTTTTGTTCTTCTCTTACATGCGCAGCATAAGTTCTATTACACACAGAAAATAGTGGGGCAGTGAAAAAATAATAATAATAATAATAGATTTCTTGAGCTACTTATCAAAAATTAAAATAAAAATAAAATAAAAAAATAAATAATAATAGATTTCATGAGCTATGACTATTTTAATTCTTTTTCACTACTATGATGTTACTGGAACAACTCCACACACGCGTATTTAGTCTATGTTAATGGCCAAAAAAGAAAAGATATTCACTGGATCAAATTACTCAAACCTTGTAGAAGAGATCTTCAATTTCCCAATCTTTAACATCTAACGGCAGGTTGCCAACATATATTGTGCGGGAAGAGCTAGCCATTTCCTTAAACAGAAATAGAATTCAGCAAGCACAATTCCTGCACATAGGAGATTTTGTTTTCAATGTGATATTCTCCTTGATATTCAAAAGTATATTACCAGGTTAATTTTTGCATCTGTTCCTCAACATCATGGACAAAAAAACGCAGTTAAAACTTAAAACAAAACCAAAATTTTGAAGCAAACCAAGAGAGCAATCCTCGACGTGGTGCTCCGCAAGCTCCATTGGTCATTGCTCCAAGGTGCACCAAAGCAATTATAAAATCAATATAAAAATTTGATCTCCTCATTCTTTCCCTGATTTCCACAGAGATCTAGAAGATTTCTGAATTTGAGCAAGAACTTCCAGTTTTCAAAATACCCAAAAATCCATAATAATCCTCTCCCCCATTCTACACACCTATGTATGGTTGCAAAGCTCCTATTTGTCCAAGCTCCTTTCATCTATCATGAAGAAAGTTTACATGTTATGAAATGTTATAATGTTGACAACAGATCCTTTCATTTTCCTCAATCAGTTTCTTCACAATTACATTGAAGAAAATAGCAGGAGATAGAAATATGTTCCTCTAGCCGCTGCTTTCCTATAACATTAAAAAATACGAAGTATCCATAATTCAAGTGGTAACCAACAAAAATTTATTAAACACCTTCAAGTTCGAGTGGAAGTTGGCATAGAAAAAAGTCAAAATTAACTATCCCCTTCCAAAGATCAAGGAGCTATAAGTTAATGAACTTGTTTTTCTTTTCCCTTTTTCTTTGTTTGTTTTTAGAAAGTAATGAATTATGGTACTTTTCTCATTGCTAAATGTGCAGAAAGTAATAGAAAGAAAAAATTTGGATTCCGAGCAATACTTGGGGTTGAAATAATTGATGGAAAATCCAGTTCTCAAGTACTTATCCTGAATCTTACAGGGAACTAAATGGATCATATATTATTAAACTAATCACAAATGTTGCATGATGGAAAGAAGAACTGAGACAACAAATCTACTAGTAGAAGAAATCTATTAGTCTACTGGTCAAAAAGGTATTAAAAAAAATGCAAGGATAAGTTGACAGAAGAATGTACTATCCAGAGCGAGGAAGGAAAGCCCACCAACAACCCTTTTTGTATTATTAAGTATCATGTAAACATGCAACCCCATGAGATAAGGCCAACCAAAATCCTACTCTTTGCCTTTGGTGTATCTGACTTAAAACATGTCTAGAGTGAACCTAAACAAATCGATTCTGAGCTTCTGTCATAAGCTATATTAGGATAAAATAAACCCATTCAGAAATAACTTCAGAAAATTAACAAGATCATTTTAGTATAAGTCAAGAAACTGATACAGCATTATACATCAGTATTATGGAAGGTCATATACTGGAATTCATGTAGTGTGAGCAAAATCAAAAGAAAATAAATACTCATCAATTTACAATGCGAAAAGCAGGGCTCAAATACTGTACCAACCAGCTGTTTCAGATCAATTATTCAACAGTACATATCTTTTGGGAATTCATATTATCTAGAAACGTGAATGGGTCTAAGATTATTCCCAATGATAATACGAGACAATGTCAATACTATCACATCAATACATCAAGAAAAATATTTTGACCCGTTTGTTATAGTCGAATGTAATTTTCCCAAGAAGAAAAAATATATATTCTTAGCTCATTTACAATGGAAATTTGATAAACCCTAGACAGAGGAGAAATGATAGAGACCACGATTCAAATCGTACCAAAACCAGAATTGATGACTAGATTTTCAGCCAGAACGTGCCCGTGGAGGGTGATGGATGATTCGCTCCTCCGAGATCAGTAGATCTAACTCTTCGAGATGGATGGTTCGATTCAGGTTTCTAGGGTTTCTTTTGAATCTTCAAATATTCTAACAAGATGGAAAGAGGGAAATTAGTTTTTAGGAAGGAGAAACATTTTAAATGCCACGGTAAGAACGTATGGATATCCTCTCAAACTCAAGATAAAACATTTTAATGGAATAGACACGGTATTAAATACAATTAATACCAAGTGTATTACTAATAAGACTTCTCCTTCAGAAGTTTCCTTATCCAAAGCATTGGTCAAACCTGCAATTGAAGTTAAAGGCTTCAATCTTACCCATCCTAAGAAGAATGAAGAATTTCTCACTCTTCTTACTTAGAAAATTCAAGGACTTAAAATTCAGACTCTATCCCATGATGAATCTGAAATAGGTTCTGATTCTGATGCGTTATCTCATATTGAGGCTTTTCAAACTGATTTTACTCAGATGCCTGAGTTCAACAGAATTGTCTATGATAAGAATATTCACTCCAATACAGCACCTGCTCCGAGTAGATATTATTATCCTAGACCCACACCTCAAGATATCTTGTATAAAGAAGATTATTTTCATACACAGAAATCTTTTCATGGTAAGACCATTTATGAATGGAACATAGATGGGAAATCTGATTATCAGATTTACGAAGTTATTCATCAAATGTTGATGTATAACTAAGTCTGTAAAATAAACCACAACACTGACCCAACCATTGCTAAATTTGTCGTTGCTGGTTTTACAGGAATCCTTAAAGGATGGTGGGATAATGTTCTCACTGACATTCAGAAAGCTGAAATCTTTTCTGCTACCAAGATCGTTAAAGATGAAGCTACCCAACAACCAGGACCTACTCCAGATGCGGTTTACACTCTCATCACTACTATTATCCAACATTTTGTTAACCCTGAAGGAGCTAATAGTGAACGGAGTCGTGAGCTTCTACAGAATTTAAGATGTCTATCTTTAACTCATTTTCGGTGGTATAAAGATGTATTCTTGGCAAAGGTTCTCCAACTCAATGATGCAAATCATGAGCATTGGAAAGCAAATTTTGTGGATGGTTTACCAACCTTTTTAGCTGAAAGAATCAGGAAAAAGCTTAGAGATATGAATAATGGTATCTCTATCCCTTACAGAAACTATACCTATGGTGGATTAGTCAATATTGTAATCCAGGAAGGTCTAGCTCTCTGTAATGATCTGAAGTTACAATCCCAGTTAAAAGCACAAAGATTAACTGGTAGAAAGGAAGTGGGTGAATTTTGTGATCAATTTGCCTACCAGACTCCCTTATCTTATCTTAAACATAGGAAAAGAAATAAGGCTGAAAAGCCTTATAAAATGAAGTATTCCAAAAGAAAGAATTATTCAGAGGAAAAGGATAATTCTCGACAGTATACTAAGCCTGAAAGGAAATATATTCCTAAAGCAAAGGGTAAAGGAAAGCCCAAAGCTGAGGCTAAATGTTTCAAATGTGGACGCATAGGCCACTATGCAAACAAGTGCAGAACTAAGGAGAAACTTAGTAGTCTTCACATCGAAGATGAATTAAGACTTCAATTAAGTAAATTGTTACTTAATACTAGTTCTTCTGAATCAGAGTCATCAGCTGATTATGGGGACGTTGTTATGGAATTACAGTCTTCTTCTTCCTCTGAAGCAGAAGTCCGAAATCCGAGATGTTCTTGTAATCCCTTTCATGATGATTATTATAAAGCAATTGTTGAAATGAATGAGTTAAGCTTAAATGTTTTAACTTCGACTCAACAATCTTTATTGGATCTTATAGATCATATCCAGGATCCTCAACTCAAATATCAAAAGCAGATAAATCAGCTTGCCAACCAGCAAATATCTGTCTGGAAACTAAATTCTTTACATCTTTTTCCAGTACTTGTTTAGCAGCACTACAATCAATGCGTAACAAGAATTTCTGATTAATTAAATCATCTTGGAATTTATAAATGCATTTAACCAAAGAAATAATTTATTTTTTGATGGTTGAATAATTTAATTGTGCATTTTTTCAAGTTCCTGAAGTGAAGCGAACAAGCTCCTCTGTTCCTGTATTTGGATTATTCTGTTTCAGAATACCACCATATCCAATATTAGATGCATCTGTTTCCACAATTTTGAACCATGAAGAATTGGCTAGAGCTAAGCAAGGAATTTGTTTTGCTTTGAGTTTAATCTTCTGGACTGCCTTGGTGTGTTCCAAAGTCCATGGGGAAGGAGATTTCCTTAACCTGGTGTACAAAATTGCTGTATTATGTGCAAGATCTCTGTAGTGATTTCGAATATAATTCAAACTACCAAGAAATCTCTGAAGTTGAGTTATACTACGATCAATAGGTCGAATTTTTCCATCACAAATTTCATGACCAAGAAATCTGACCTGGGTTAAAAACAGTTTTAGTTTAGGAGCAGAAACTACTAAACCACTTCGGTAAATAAAATCTTTGAAAATTTTCAAGTGTTTATAATGTTGATCTATTAATTTTGAAAATATGAGAATATCATCAATATAAACAATAGAAAATTCAGTATAAGGATTAAATATGTCATTCAAAATATGTTGAAATTCTGAAGGGGCATTTTTTAATCCAAATAGCATTACTGTCCATTCATATTGTCCAAAAGGTACGCAAAAGGCTGTTTTGTACCTGTCATGTTCTGCAATCTGTACCTGGTAATATCCAGACTTAAGATCAAATTTAGAAAAGATTACAGCAGATTGTAATCTATCTAAAAGATCTTTGATGTTGGGAATTGGATATCGGATCCAGCTCAAAGCAAGATTGAGTGGTCGATAATCAATAACCAATCGAGGAATTCCTCTTTCTTTTTCAGCATTGTTATTGACATAAAAAGCTCTGCAACTCCATGGGGAGTAGCTATCAGTGACAAGCTTCTTTGCCATTAAAGAGCTGATTTCAGTTTTGCATAATTCCAAGTAGTCAGCTTTCATGTGGCTGGGACTAGCTTTAGAAGGAATCATAAGATCGATAAATCCCTTTTCATAAGGTAAAGAAACAATATGCTTCTTTCTATCCCAAAAAGCATTAGGAATCTCACTACAGATTTCCTTTAGAAAGTTTTGTCGTATTGACTCAATTTTCTGTTGCTCAGTGGGTTGTACCAATCTTTGATTAATTGCTAAGGAGGATACCTCCTTTTGCAAATAATTCAGTTGTTTTTCCTTAAAGATAATGTTATCCTTAAGAGCATTGATATGCTTGTTTACTGGTGGGGTCAAAAACTGTAACTGAAACAATTAATACTAAGTGTATTAAAATCTGTAACTGAAACTTCATCATCCCAGTTTGAAGTTCCTCAATCAGAAAACGCGAATTATTTTCAACTCTTGAATCAAGTTACTTACCAAAAATGGTATATATCTATCAATTTGGTAATTAATCAAGAGTACACCATCACTAATGCTATTGCCTTAGTTGATAGTGGTGCAGATATGAACTGTATACAAGATTGAGTGGTTGATAATCAATAACCAATCGAGGAATTCCTCTTTCTTTTTCAGCATTGTTATTGACATAAAAAGCTCTGATACCAAATAAGAGCGAGGATCGATATTCAAATTATAATAAATTATAATATTAGAATATAACAATAATTGTATAAGATAATAATAAACTTACATAAAACTTTCTTCTTTATTGAACTTCCAAACTAGTACAGAGAAAAATATTACAAGAGGAAGAAAAGAAAATTGAAAGATACATTTAAGGGAACCTTTGCCCTCTATTTATACATGAAATGGACTTGAAATTATCATTTTGAAGTCCGCATAGTGCATAGGATCGTGTGCTGGAATAATGCAGTCGGTCGGCCCACCACTAAGTGCTGTCTCCTTATCTGATGAAAAGTAGACATTTGATGAAGGAAATACTGTAGAACCAAAGACTTTTGGGAAAAGTTCTTTGTCTTCTTCTGTCGGCAAGATAAGAGGAATCTTTACTTTTTGGGTGGATTCATTTTGTCCACCAAGTGGCCGGTGAGGGAGTCCCAATAATCGGCTACTGTGGGTTCACCTTCAGAAATAAGATCTTCATTGGGATCTTGTGCATAACCAGCTAGACAGGAAAACTGATTACCATCTTGACTGGTCTGGCTAAAGACTGACACCATGGATTCATCATCTCGTACTGTAGGTGTGGAGGAATCAAAAGATTTAACAAATTTGTTCCTCATAAAATCTATGCATTTAACCATTAAATCTGCTTCGGTAATTAATGGTTGTTGCTTTCTGATCATATCTTTAACGAGTTCAAATGAGTTAAAGATTTTTGGTTCTGGTATAGTTAACTTTGGAACATTATCCATGTATACCAATGTTTTCTTTCTGATAAAATGGAGGAGGGCTTGGATAGGGTCTTGAGTCATGCCTGACCACCATCGGTAAAAGAAGATCCTCTGAAGGACTGGTAACTTGTCAGTGGTATAACCACATTGAAAATCCCATTTCCAAATCCAAGGGATTCCAAATTCAGTAAAGAACAATAGGGTGAATTTCCCTACAGGAATATTATCCTATCCCCTTAATTGAGGATGAAATTGTTGCCATGGCAAGTATAACTGCCTAATTGATTCGGGCAAAACATCCAGATCAGGGCCAAATATAGCCCACCAGGGTATAACCTAGTTTGGGAAATCAACCTTAACTGATTGAGGGCATATCTTGAAGAATCAAGAATGCTTATGCTTCGGATTTTGATAAAAGAACGAATATGTCCATGCTGAGATATAATCCCAATAATTGTAATGATGCCATAGGATATTTTCCTTGGCAAATTAGGATTTAATCCCCAGTCACTAGGCCGTATAAGCCTCTTAAAGATAGCTTTACTGAAATTGCATCATGTGGTTGATCTCCACAAAGGAAGTTTCAGTAAGAATGGCTTCATAGATATATCTATGGCGACCATCCGGTGCAGCATATTGTTGTGTTTGGAAATATCTTGATTTAACTTCCCAAGGATCTGGCATCCATTGCTCGTCTTGAGAATCCAGTACCAATACTGTCTGAATATATCTTTGATTAGGTATCCATGGAGTTTCTTGTTCAAGAACCTCTTTCATGGTTGGTTTCTGTTATTTCTGTTGTGAACTGCTGCTGCCTTTAGAAGGTGTACTTAGCAG